AGCCATTGCTGCTTGCACATTGCAAAATTATAATCATGACATAAATCTGTTACTGACTGGATTAGCTCTGTGTTAAGACTGTCTATGCTTCCTCTCCCCTTTACTATTTTAGATCACTAAGAGGTGTGACTGACTCTTAGACTTTTTAACAATAATCTTTAAACTAGGGAGGTTATACTAGTGTTTAACTGAGACAGAAACATGCTGTTTGAAATACAGAGGCGGTAATTTACCATGCAATCACAGAGGGAATAATGCAGCATTCTTTCCTTAGGTGTGGCATTGCCTCTCGTATTAATCTAGATTCCATAATACTTCAGAATTAATTACTGTAAAAAGGTGACATAAATTTACCAAATGTTATCAGAACTACTGAAGTGACCTCCTCCTGCCTTCAAGCATGGCCTGAAATACGTTTACAAGTTCTCTGACATTCTTTGAAGTTCATTCTCAGGAACTGAAGCAATTATACATGTTATATCACTTGCAAAGCTTTGGCAGTGCAAGAGTTATCTTGCTGGAAACAACCCATGTTGTCTTTCTTCAGTTATCAACTGTATGAGGAGACTTAATATACGAAGGGCACTCCGTATATAATGCCTCCTATTTTCTTGTGTTAATCTGCAATGTCTGAGCTGGATGTTGGTGGTATTGTAGTAAAGGTTGAACCTTCCTGCCAATGTACTGTTAGTTTGGTTCACTATATTATATTTAAGCATCCTGTTACACTCACACAATATATATGAGACAAATTCCATCTTAAGTGCAACAATTTAATTGTAGTTCTTTCTTCTTCCCTTCCTCTACACTACATGTTTCGGCCCTAAATGGCCATCATCAGGTGTGTATTCTTACGTAGCTGCTACACTGCCCGTAGTTAAAATTTAATATCACCAGTCTTTCCAATTGTATGTATGTACAAGATATTTGTTAACCTACACATGTATTACATGTATTAATACACGTATTAAAGATAAGCAGCGACACACACACACACACACAGAGCCTGCACAGAACAGTACCTGAACAGCGATAAAACAAGAAGTGGCCGCTGCAGCATTATAGACATAGGGCGTGTACCCCGAGAAAATTTTTAAAAATTTGGAAAAAGAAAAGAACAGAAAATTTATAGACATTTTAATTTGAATTGAAGTTTTAAAAAAGTGCCAATTTTAGAAATCAAATTGACGTGTGTAAGTTAACAAATGTTTTATACATACATACAATTGGAAAGACTGGTGATTCTAAATTTTAAACTACAGGCAGTGTAGCAGCTACGTAAGAAGACACACCTGATGATGGCCATTTAGGGCCGAAACATGTAGTGTAGAGGAAGGGAAGAAGAAAGAACTAAAATTAAATTGTTGCACTTAAGACGGAATTTGTCTCATATATGTTAGTTTGGTTGTCGTGCGACATATAGCGACAGCAGAGCAGTCTACCAAAATGGGGTCTGACATGGAAGTGTGTACGAAACAGAGATGTGTTATTGAATTTCTCACTGCTGAACAAATTGCACACACTGACATCCATCGACACTTGCTAAAGGTGTACGGAGATGATACAGTGGATGTCAGCACAGTGAGGTGGTGGGTAGTGCGTTGCAACGGTGGGGAAAGTGAAGTGCACGACAAGCCAGGCCCTGGGCATCCCTGCTCAGCTGCCACTCCTCACAATGAACAGAGCCTCAATCAGCTCATCTGTACAGATCGGCAGATAATGACCTGGGAACTGTGTGCACAGCTTAATATCAACTGTAATGCATTGGAAACGATGTTGGGGAAGCTGGATTATTGCAAAGTTTGTTCCAGGTGGGTCCCGCAGATGCTTAATCAGGACCACAAAACTCATTGAATGAAAGTCTGTCAGAACCTGTTGCACCAGTCTGAGGCTGAAGATGACAAGTTTCTGCATCATCACCGGAGATGAGACATGGTGTCACCACTACGAGCTGGAATCCAAAAGACAGTCCATGGAGTGGCGACATCGGAATTCCCCAAGAAAAAAGAAGTTCAAGAGAGAGCCATCGGCAGGGAAAGTGATGTGCACAGTCTTTTGGGATAGGAAGTGTGTGATTTTGTTGGATTTCCTGGAGCCTGGTGAGACTGTCAATTCTGAAAGCTACAAGATGACGCTAAGCTGAAAGCCCGCGTTTCCCGAGTCAGGCCAGAGAAGCAGACAACCTTTCATTTGCAACATGATAACGCTAGACCCCATACCAGTTTTGTGACCACCACACGCAATTGTAAAGTTTGGCTGGATTGTCCTACCACATCCACCTTATAGCCCCAATTTAGCACCTTCAGACTTCCATCTCTTTGGGCCTATGAAAGATGGACTATGTGGGCAACATTTTCCAGACAACGATGCTGTCATGGCAGCTGTAAGAAAATGATTTGCCTCTGCTGGCGCAGACTTTTATGAGCGCAGCATACAGGCTCTTGTTCATCGCTGGCAAAAGTGCATAACGAATGGTGGTGATTATGTGGAAAAATAACTGTAAGTAGCTGAAATCTTGCTCTATTTAACTGTGTTATTATGCTTTCTGTATCAGTTGTAGTTTTCATTAAAAAAATAGGAGGCATTATATATGGAATGATCCTCGTAGATATTGATATCAGTTTGGTTTACTCAAAAAGTATCAGGCCAATAACTGCCATGTACTTATAGCACACTGCACCTCTGCATTTACAGTGAAACAGTATCTGCAGAATGGCATGAGGATTCTGATCACTCCATATATGATATATTGCACATTAACATGCCTCATCAATTTTTAAACAGTGACTCTGGGTCTATGACCACTCATGTCAATTCTGCAATTTATACTTATAAAAGTACATAATTGTTGCACAATCTGTTTTTTAAGCTCATGCAAAATCATAAATTTAAAACTCCATGATCTAAGTCCACAAGCAAACTATACTGACTGAGCGACTGCCGCCTGTCGGCGAAGTTTAGTACCAACTTTTGTGGACAGAGGGTGTCACGCTGTCAGCGCAATGAATTCCCACGGCCATTAATTTCGGTTTTCTAGACCAGAGCCGCTATTTGCTTGAAATAGCTGAAGTATAATCACGAGGCTGAGTGGACCCCATTCCAGACGCACTACTTCTCAGAAAAAATCTGGTAGTGCCGGGAATCGAACCTGGACATCTGGATCCATAGCCAGGAACGCTGACCACTAGACCACAGAGGCAGTCACCATAAATTTATACAAGTGGAATTTACTGGTCTTGTAGCTGTGCACATTTGAGGAAAACACCAATTTCTTGTGCCAAGTATCTTAATGATTGGCGAGGACTGATCTCTAACTATGCCTAAACATACAGAATGTTTTCTTCAGTTAGCACACTCCTCTTGGATTGTCTCTTTCTGTCACAAAATGAACATGTCATCTACCATTTTTTTGACAAGCTTCCATATACAGAACTTCGTGGAAACTCATTCTTGTGGGTATTTACTGAGGGCTTCTGAATGGATTTCTGTTACATTTTCTTCTTTTATAAAGTATTCAACTGTGAAAACTTTCTGTTGAATCATATGCCATATTATAAGAATAATGAATGAATTCAGATATACTGATCTGAGTAAGCAGAACTTTCAGACACTACCATACTGACTGCAATATGTTGACTGTGTGAATGACACTTGTCATACCAATCATACTGATCACAGTATGTTTGTTGGCCGTATGAATAACTCTCAACATATCAACTGTGCCAATCCTAATATGTTTCATGAATGCACAAATGACTCATCATCAGAATGTCAAGTCCCACAGAGATCGCAGACAAAATATCCACTGTATTCACAATGTTGCCATGCTTCCTTGTTGTACAAAACTATTTAGAATGTTGAATAAGATTAAAAGGATGATCATGTATGCTTACTGAATGGTATGCAAGATTTAGAGTCAGCCGCAGACTGAAGACACTATCTGGGTATTGCCCGGACGCGAGGGAAATGATAAAAAACATCAAATTTGGATGGCCAGGAGCCTCACCAAAATTTGAGCTGGTTACCTCCCAAATACAGGCCTACAGCATTTCTGTTACACCAGGCTGATGTTGGTTCACAGCAAGGGACATACACAAACACTACACACATTTTTATAAAGTTGTCAAAAGTTGGTAACAAATAGGTGTACACATGTAACTTAAATATGATAGTTGTATGTAAGGGGGCATGCAGCAGTGTAGTTGGTTTAGGCACCATGCTAGAAGCCAGAAGATCGCTGGTTCAATTCCCAGTGAGGTCACTGGATTTTTCAATTGACCTGATCCTTCAAGCCACACTATGATCCTGGGGTAAACTAAGCCTCTAACAGAAATTAGGGATCTTCCTGGGGGTAAAGGGTGGCAGCATGTAAGGCTGACAACCTCACTGCCATCTGTGATCAAACTGTCTGGAAAATGTGGGCACCTCGACGTCTCAACCCTATGGGCCTCCACAGCCTGTTACAGGGACAGCGTTTACCTTTAGTTGTGTGTAAGAGCATACTTTTCAACAACAACTATACATTTTCATTAGTTGCCAATATAACAAATAATTTTCAAGACACTCTGGGAGTTCACTATAACAACACAACACTATATGAATGAATTGGCTAACCTTGACTGAATAAACAGCTGAACTCTTTGGGTACAAATGTAGTTCAACAAGGATGACTGCTTTCAATTTCCTGTACTGAAGGTTGGTGCGGCTTCTGAACAAAAGCTTCAATGGATGAATCACCACTGCTGCTTACATGTTTAAATGATACTGCAAGAGCATACAAATAATGAATGGTAAGAAATTAATGTGCTCTAATACAGGAAAACCAGTGTTGTGTACAACATATTTATAGGTAAACTCCAGAGAAGGAAGATAATAACACAAGTAAGAAAATTAATACTGTTAAAAATCCTATTATTCAGTTCAGAACTGTTTACTTTTCCATCTCCTATCTAAAAATAAAATACACAAAACTTATTACTTTACTTGTTCTTTAATGTGGGTGTCAAAGTTATTTATTTTTCTTTTTGACCCCTCAAAAGCTAGAATGTATAGCCAAAATCTGATCTTTCACATTATGGGAAGAATTACAGACTGAGAGTACTTGGGAATAGGGTGTTGAGAATATATGGACTTAAAGAGATATGAAGTAACATGAAACTGAAGGAAATTATATAATGAGAGTTTCATAGTTTGTTCTCATCACCAAATATTGATTATTAGCATGATGAAATTAAGGAGAATGAGATAAACAGGGCATGTTGGATGTATGGAGAGGAACAGAAATACACATAACTTTTAGTCAGAAAAACTGGAGGGAAGAGACCAGTGTGTAGATGTGAGGGTATTACTAACTTGGATCTTATAAGCAAAGTCACTCCTCAGCCTACAGCTTCCCACTTACAAATTTTTGGGCTAATGGTCCAATTAATTAAACAAGGACTCATTGGACTTATGCACTGAATTTTAGGACTTTAAGACTTGAAATTTCAAATTCTCCCATTGGCAATAGATGAAGTGCTGAAAAAAAATGTTAGTATAATTATTTATAAAGTCTGTAAATGTCTGGTAGCTAGAATCATAACCAGGGCCCAGATTTTGATTACCTAAAAATATTTTAAAAATCACCAAAAAATCCAGAAAAAATGACCTATAAAAATGACTGAAAAATCCAAATTATCTAAATGTTAAAAAACGACCTAAAATGTATCATGTCATGGAAAATCTACTAATTGTTTTAAAATGTATTTTTAATCTTTATTAACAGTGTGAATTCAACATTACTCTTTTAAGTTCATCCCCATTTTTATGTTGAAAATTAAGCACTATATGATTGAATTTGAAGCTAAATGTTTTAATAAGATTTTTTCTACTGCACTGGAACGCTTATCAAATGTACATATATGGTATATATGTAGTGTGTTCAAAAAGTACTGAACCTTTGGTCGGCAGAAATACATTTATTGATTTGGAGGTGCAAAACCCTAATCCCCTTCAAAGTAGTCTCCTTGGTAATGCACACACTTCTCCCAGCGCTTCCGCCATTGTTGGAAACACTTCTGGAACGCGTCTTTTGGAATGGTGATCAGCCGGGCCGTCACATTCCTCATGATGTCTTCTCTTGACTCAAATCGGGTTTCTTTCAGCGGCATTTTCAGCTTGGGAAATAGCCAAAAGTCACACGGAGCCATGTCGGGGGAGTAGGGAGCCTGACGAACCACAGGGACGTTGTGTTTGGCGACAAAAGTCTGAATCAGATGCGCAGTTTTGGTACGAATTTCGCGGACACTCTCCTCATGCCCAAATCCTTGGTCAAAATTGAATGTACCGATCCAGTGCTTACCCCTATCTCGTTCTCATGTTCTGGGGCTGTGATACAACGGTCCTCCATGACCAAAGTCCGCACTTGCTCAATGACATTCTCATTTCGGCTTGTTGAGGGTCTGCCTGAACGCGGTTCGCTGTCCACTGATGTGCGGCCATCTTTGAAGCGGTTGTACCGTTCCTTTTTCTGTGATTTGCTCATGGCATCGTCCCCGAAAGCCTGCTGAATGTTGCGAATGGTTTCCACTTGGGCATCGCCAAGATTTTGGCAAAATTTGATGCAATATCACTGCTCATGTTGTTCTGTCATTTTACACCTTAGTTAGTTAGTTAGTTATTGGAGAGGGTGGGTTTCCCCATGCACTTAGACAAGTATTGGTCCATTGTGCTTCCCTCTTATGATATTCTACCAGTCTCTATATTCTACCGATATTGGTGCATACCATCAGTCCCGACTGAGCCAGCGAGTTCGGCCTCCACTAGCTTGGCGGTATCTATAATGCTTCCCCCATCTATCAGAGGTGTTAGAGACTACTTTTTGGGCGGGAAACGTTCTTGAATTTGGCTGTGACCTCCTTTGGAGATATGAGGTTCTTTTACGTGACATAAAGCTACGACACGGGACCCATGGCTTAAAGTCCCTCCCGGAGGACTTGTTCCTTGAATTTTTCCACCCTTAAAATTGGACAACCTCTGCTGGGTTTGAACCTGCGTACCACGAGTCATGAGGGGGGAACATTACCTCTAGACTACGGAGGCCGCTCATTTTACACCTTACTGGAATCCAACGAGCGCTCACTACATGTCCTCACTCATAGGCCAACTTCCAGTGACTGACGCTTTCTGCGGGCAGGAAAAAATTCACGACTGTGCATGAATGTCCCCTCCACATCTCCACCGAAGGGAACCTCCCGCGCTTCATTGGTTTACGAGAGGAAAAAAAAAGAAGGCTCGATACTTTTTGAACACACCACGTATTTCAATATTTAAGTGCCACCTCATTCAGAGTTGCAATAGATGCAAGTTCAGAAGGGTGCATATTATTTGGGTATAAAAATCTACAATCATCTGCCTAAAGAGCTCAAACAAGTATCCAATAACCAGAAATCCTTTGAACGTTCCCTAAAAAGATTTTTACATGCTACCTCTTTATGCATTAAATGAGTATTTTAATTATAAATGTACATAAATTTGAATGCTTTAAAGCCGTATTTTAATATAGTTAGTATAGGAGATGTGAAGAGTTATATTAATTCAAGTTGTGTTGTAGTTACTTTATATAATGTCTGTTAATCAAGATATTATCTTTTTACCTAATATTATTGTATGTGTTAATTAGTTAATGTGGGTGATCTTCATTATGTGACTTATGTGACTTTGTGTATGTATTTGATATGACTATTTCCACATCCTGGGTCTGCTGCCTGTATGGATATTTATGGAAAATAAAGGATATGTATGTATGTATTACTGTGTTCACACATGCCCATCATGACTTTGCATCCTGACACAAACAAACCCACTCCAAAACTCCCATAACTGTACCTTTAAAAAATCCATCTCCACAATTGTCTCCGAAGTGGTCTCATTCTTTCAGGTCTTCTGTCAAAATCTTTGTATGCATTTCTCATTCTCACATGTCTGCTGTATGAC